AATGAAATTTTATTTTATCCTTTTTATATTGATGTAAGCACCATACAAGAAGAGCCAAATATGGTAGCAAGATCAGGTCTTGTTACAAATATGGGAGGTTTTTCCCCAACTTCAGTGCATCTTATGTAATACCGGTCGAAAATTAGTGATGGGTAAAATTTAGTCTAAAATATAAGATCTTAATTAATTTTGTCTTTTTTTTATTTATCCAAACTAACTGATTGTATATGTTAAGGTAGTATGCATGCAGGGGTAGTTTAATCCAAATTATTTAAGGAGGTACTTTATGAAAACTAATACATATTTTTAACAAATAACTAATTTAAATAGTTTTTTTAATATATTCAAATTAATTAAGTAGGTCTTATATTAAGGATCAGATTTATCTAATTTAGGTAGATTAATGAAGTAGTTAAATTACTTATTTATGAAAGATATGTGTTGGTTTCCTTATAAATACTCCTTCGGTCCTAAATATTTTATAGTGTAAATTATACTATAAAATGAGTCTCTTATTTAGGACTAGAGAAATACCATTTTAAATCATTTGGACTGGAACTACCTTACGCTATGTTTGGTACGGGATTTTTGGAGAGGAGGGGAGGAGAGTTGCTCCCCTCCCCTTGTTTGGCTGGTGTAATTTTTTAGGAGGGGAGGGGAGCCCCTCCCCTCCCCTCGTTTGGTTAAGATGTTTTTTAAAGAAGGGAGGGATTCTTCTCCCCTCCTCTTCTCTTCTAGCCTCCCCTCCAAAAGTGGAGTTTTTTGGAGGGGAGATGAGAGATAATATTTTAATTCCTTATATACCTTTTTGATTTGTTAACCTCTAATCAGTCGTAAATATTTCTACATAAGAGAGTTTTTTTGGGCATCTAACAAGAGGTTATTAAGATAATTGTCTCCAAAATTAGAACTTTTTTTTTCTCTTCTTCTAATTCCAAGAGGTTGTTGGTATTTTCTTTCACCTTCAAGGTCTTTTTTCTGATTGAAATCTATCACTCGTGACTTTTTATCTTGATATTCTATAAGTGTGTGACTATGTCTTGTAAATCAAAATTGGTGAATTATATTATATATATAGTTATATCTTAACAAAATAAAAAGTGAGAAAATTCATTTAAATTTTATGAGGTTAAAATAGTCAATTTTTTATTAGAACAAAATAAGGTATTATTAAAATTGCTCCCTCCCCTCCCCTCCAATCAATCCAAACAGGAGATTATTAAAATCCCTCCCCTCCCTTCCTCCTCCCTCCCCTCCCCTTTGTAGCTACCCTCCCCTTCCCTTTCCTTGATTAAAATCCCTCCCCTCCCCTCCCCTCCATCGAGCCAAACACAGCTTAATGCAAACTCACTTAACTTATACAATCAATATGGTTAGTTTGGGTAAAAAAAATAGATTAAAGTCTTATACTTAAGAACAAATTCAATCATCTACTTATTCTTATATTAAGGATTGAAAGTGGTAACTATCAAGAAGCTTTATTATCTCTTTGAAATTTTAAGAGAAAATCCAAATAAATTGAAGATCAGGAAATAGTGTTGATAACTTGCCATTCACATTTAAAATAAAATTCAAAAAATAATTTTTTGAGGGCCAAATCCCTTTTTTTCCTAAGAAAATAGAGATTATTTTAATATCATACCAAAACATAAATTGAATACAAAATTTAGTACTTATCCCACTCTTAATATAAGACCTAATTATTAAGTTAATTTTGATCTTAAAAATAAGCATTCATTTTTTTGGGCATTTATACCGCAATATATTTTGTTGGTTTATTATTATTATTGTTATTTTTAATTTCTAATTTTTATCCTTGCAGGCCCATATCATTCCGCAGAGCCGGAAAGCCTTAAAAGATCTAAGAAGATTAGACTACGGTGGCAATGGCGACGAGCACCGTCGCTGCAAATGCTACAAAGGGCAGCACTACTTTGCTATCGCTTTCTCCCTTGTGGAGAGCTAGGGCTCATGGCTTTTCTTCTTCTTTAGTAACTCCCTCCTCTCTCACTGCTCAATCCAAATTCCCCATTTTCTCCATCTCCTCATCACCATCCCGATAAAGAAGAAGAATCTCATCTCCCTTCTCTTCTTTTTGCACCGCTTCTACTGATGAAGCAGTGGCGGAATCCGTCGCAAACACTTCCGGTGATGCTTCTTGTAAAAATGGAATAAATGTTAAGGATGCCGCCGGCTTGCTTGACACAAGGGTTGGGAGAATTCTCGGGGGTGGAAACACGAGGAGGCTGACTCTCTTTATGTGGAAGATGTGGATATTGGTGAGCCAGAGCCCAGAGTCATTTGCAGTGGCCTTGTCAAATACATTCCTCTTGACCATCTTGAGGTAATTTTTCGATGTCAGCTTGTTATAAGGCTTGATTGCTGAGCCTTTACTAGTAGCTTTGAAAATTGTTGTTTACTAGTAGCCTTTACTAGTAGCATTCATATTTTGATAAATGAGAAAATTGTTGTTTAAAATTGATAATTTGATTCGTACTCAATGTCTTTGGCAGCTGTCTTCCTAATTTCTCTACCTTAGAAAAATGGGATTCTCTGTTTGACATTCTTACACCACATGGATCGGAACACACACGCGCTCGCGCACACACAATAATTAAAGAACAGTTAGCAAGATATATCTTGCACAGTGATTTTGAAGTTTTAATAATAATTATAAAGAAAAAACTGCAAGATGCATCTTGCACTGGTCTTCCATGTCAATTTGTCTTCTTGGACTTAGCAAGGGCGTTTAGAGAAGAACAGTTATTTTCCGTACTTTACTTTCAAGGCCTGTCCTTTGTTGCTCCTTGAAATGAGAATCCTGTTAGCAAGACGGTTTATGTTCTGCAAATAATGCATGAGTTGATGGCTTAGACAGATTCTTTCTGCTGGACTGGAGTGACTGTTTTTAAATCGAAAATGGGAATTGAACTTGAAGTCTGACATTGTTCAACGTGATAAATAATTCATATATGCAGGGCAAAAACGTAATTGTGCTTTCCAATTTGAAGCCAAGGAACATGCGTGGTGTCAAGTCTTCCGGCATGCTCATGGCTGCTTCTGATGCCAAGCATGAGAATGTTGAACTTCTTTTTCCTCCTGAGAAAGCAGCCCCTGGGGAAAGAATATGGTTTGGATCAGAAGATGAAAAGGAAAACCAACCTGCTCCTGCGACTCCTAATCCGGTAATAGCTCTACTTTTATTACGTGACATTTTATTCCGATGCGGATAAGTTCTATAATTTAGGACAATGATTTTTTTTACTGCTGAAAATATCGGGATAAGTTTGTTCTTGTCAGTTAGGACAATGATTTTTTTACTGCTAAAAATATCGGGATAAGTTTATTCTTGTCAGTTATGGGCAAATTTTGTTGAGACATAAGAATAGTTTTCACTTATTGGTAGTTAGTTATTTTTCTTTTTTCTTTTTTCCCCCTTCTTTTAACATCGCATGGTAATACTTCCAGTAACGTCTCAAGAAGCAAGATTGACCTGCTTCTCCCGATCTCTTCCAAAACGCTGTCGTTTGCTTGAAGGAGGGGCAATCTGGAACTGGAACTCAACCCACAGTAGCCTCACTAAAACAACCTGAAAATGGGACTTGGACTTGGGTCCAAATTGATAGAAAAACGGTCCAAATTGATAGAAAAACGGTTGTCTTCTTCCAAGCTTTGTCCCGATCGATCTGGGTGCTTCTTCCTCTACAAACAAAATGAATATTGTTGGATTGCGAGCTCCAACGATGTCCTCCATCAAGCTTCGTCTTCTTCCTTAGATCCATGGCGGAAGCTTTATCTATGGCTTGCAGCTCTGCTTCAACCACTACTGAGAAAACGGCTACAAAAATGCGCATGTTTTATGCATTTTCTGCAATATATACAATGAATCGAGGATAAGCAACATGACGATCGATTTATTTATTGCTTAATGTGAAAGTTAATTTTGAATTGCTGATTTGGGCTGGTTATAAGCGCCGATTGGGCGTCCCTTAAAAATAATTTCCAAGCTGGTGAACTGAAGAAAATTCGATTGTGTAAATTGCAGAATCAATGGCCTGTGCAAAAAGACGAATTCCATTTCTCAGATGCCGAATAGAACGTAAATTCCGACTGCTTGAAATCGAAGCTTTTCTCTGTTTGGGTTTTAATATCACTAAAAAAGTCAGAGGTGTGACAGAATTCACTCGCGGTAAACACAATAGTCCCATAACGCGTGTTAAATTTCCATTTCAAGAAGATGAGGGTTCATTGACTTGCTTGGTAAGGTGACTGTCCAGGGTGGACCATATTAAAGCTGTATTAAATAGTACTATGAATAATTTAAATACATTAAAAAAATAAATTAAATTAGTTATTTGTAATATATAGTTATTGTCTTTCCTAAAATATGCTTAATAATTAAATGTATTGGCTAGAACTACTATTATTAGGAGAACTATCTTAAAAAAAAATACATAAAAATAAGAGATAGCATGAATTGAGGTTTTATATTTAAAATCAAATTAACTAGAAGTATTATTTGTTAATTGTCGAAGATCTCTATTCAATTTGATGAGGCAAATTGTTCCAATCAACTAACTCGTCCAACTACATTGTTCTTTAACATTTTTCAATGACGCCCGCTCATTTTCTTCTCCATATGAATGCTCCGTTTTGAACTTTCTTCGAGAAAAAATAGAAAAGAAAGAAAAAACATATACTTTACGCGTGAAAGTGGGGGCACACGGAATGAAAGCTCAATTATAAGACTAATGTCATGACGTTGTAGCTATGTGGTAGTTGATTTTATTACGTTACTGCATTTTCTCGTACCCATGTCTTAATGAAAGTTCAGTTGGGGACCACTTAACAAAGACCACTTAACAAAGAATGAAAGACAGATTTACCCCCTTACGCGGAAACGGAGAAATATACACACATATATGTGTGTGTGTACATGCTGCTGAGATGTACAGCTTTTGCCTACAACCAAAGTTTGCTAGAGAGAGAGATATATATCAATGGCAAAACTACCAGTGATTGAGTTATTATTACACCTTGTCTGCTTGTTAATCTTAGTTTCTGTTGGGAGCAGTAATGGTGGCCACTTGATTAATTGCTTGGCCTCTGATCGAGAAGCTCTAATGGACTTCAAAACTGGGCTTCAAGATCATGGCAATGTGTTATCTTCATGGAGGAGTAGCAACTGTTGTGAATGGCATGGAATACAGTGTGACAACAACACAGGGACAGTTGTTGCAGTTGATCTCCACAACCCATACTGGGGTCCCAATTCTAATTCTTCACATGAAGGGTATGTATTCCGGAGCCTGAGTGGTGAAATAAGATCATCTCTGATGAATCTTAAGTTACTAAGGCATTTAGACTTGAGTTTTAACACATTCAATGGAGTACCAATACCTGAATTTTTTGGATCTTTGGAGAATTTGCAATATTTGAATTTGTCACATGCCGGGTTTACTAGCACCATTCCTCGACATTTAGGAAACCTGTCTCACTTGCAAGTTCTTGATCTTGGGTTTCTTGAATTACATGTTGACAATTTTCAATGGATAAATGGTCTTATCTCTTTAGAATATCTGGCGATGAATGGGGTTGACCTTTCGTTGTTGAAAGATTGGTTTGATGTATTGAATCAGCTGCCTTCTATAGTTGAATTGCATCTATCTGGTTGTAACTTACCTAGTTATATTCGACCTCTTGTGTCTCTAAATTTTTGTTCACTTGCTGTCATGGATCTTAGCTTTAATAACTTCCATTCAAAGGTACCTAATTGGCTTGTGAATACAAGTAGCCTGCAACATATTGATATGAGTGAAAGTGGCCTGTATGGAAGAATACCACTTGATCTAGGTGACATGCCAAATTTATTATGGTTGGATTTAAGTCGGACTTATGATCTTACAGCAAGTTGCTCCCAACTCTTTAGAAAAAGATGGGAAAAGATACAAATTATTAATTTAAAAGACAACAAAGTGCATGGAAAACTCCCCTCATCTTTGGGAAACATGACTTCTCTCACTAGACTTTATCTTGATTCTAATGCTATTGAGGGTAGTATTCCAAGTTCTATTAGAGAACTTTGCAATTTGAATCGTTTTTCTTCATCGAGGAATAATATGACAGGAAATCTACCTGAAATTCTTGAAGGAACACAAACTTGCCCTTTTAAGAAACCTCTACATAATTTGCAATATTTGGTTTTGAGGGACAATCAACTCGGCGGTAAAATTCCATATTGGTTAGGTCAACTAGAAAATATGATTGGAATTGATCTTAGCCATAATTTGTTTGAAGGACCTATTCCAACTTCTTTCGGATCAATGAAAAATCTTAATATCTTACAACTTGGAAAGAATAAATTCAATGGGACTCTTCCAGAAAGTTTAGGACAACTTTCAACCCTATCAGGGTTGGATGTTTCTTCTAATCAATTGGAAGGCATAATATCTGAAATTCATTTTTCAAAGCTGACCAATCTGATATTCTTGGACCTATCCTTCAATTCATTCATTGTGAACATCAGCTCTAATTGGATGCCCCCCTTCCAAGTTGAAATACTTATGATGAGTTCATGCATTGTGGGGCCTTCATTCCATCTTGGCTCCAATCACAAAAAGAGATAAAACATTTAGACCTCTCAAATGCGAGCATTTATGATTCTATGCCAAATTGGTTTTGGACGAGCATGACTAACTTGTCTTTCGTATCTCTTTCTCATGATGAAATTTCTGGACAAATACCAGAGTCCATTGGAGATATGTGTGATTCTCTATTGACCATTGATCTTTCAAGCAACAACTTCATCGGAAGGATCCCTTCCAGCCTTGCAAATTGTTCCATCTTACAAGCACTAGATCTTAGCGAGAACAAGTTGTCAGGAGTTATTCCAAATTCCTTAGGTCAATTGCAACAGCTGACGTTATTGCACCTAAGTGACAACCAACTCTCGGGGAAGTTGCCATCATCATTCATGAATTTATCATATTTGCAAACCTTGGATCTTGGAAACAATGAACTTTCCGGTGGAATTCCTTCTTGGATTGGAGATGGATTTTCAAATCTTGCAATTCTTAACTTGAGGTCCAATGCATTCTTTGGGGAAATACCTCATGAGCTCTCAAAACTAAGTTCATTGCAAGTCCTGGATCTTGGGGAGAATGACTTGAGTGGTAGCATTCCAACCAGTTTTGGTGATCTTAAAGCAATTACTGAAGAGAAAAGAAACGACAAAAATTCAGAATATATGATATATCAAGATGTGTACAATAAGTTCGTGTCCTATCAGGTTGAGGACTATCAAGATAGGTTGGTTGTGAATACAAAAGGCCAATCATTGATGTACACCAAGACTCTTTCTCTTGTCACCAATATAGACCTTTCTGGAAACAAATTGTCTGGAGGAATCCCCCATGAAATGACAAAACTATCTGGTCTAATGTACTTGAACTTGTCAAGAAATCACATTACTGGCAGCATTCCTGACAGCATATCAAATATGCATCAATTATCATCCCTTGATCTGTCCAGCAATCAACTTGCTGGCTCCATTCCTCAAAACCTGTCTTCCTTGTCATTTTTGAGCTACTTGAATTTGTCTTACAACAACCTTTCAGGTCCCATTCCTTACACTGGTCAAACAACAACTTTTGAGGCATCTTCATTTGCTGGAAATCCTAGTCTTTATGGTTGTCCCCTTCCCGTGAAATGCCTACGTAATAATGATGACCTTGCCGGTGGTTCTGATAATGGAGCAAGTACTAAGGAAACAATTGATGGTGATGATGATGGGTTGATTGATCAGGGGTTTTACTTGAGTCTTGGTGTGGGATTCGCAGCTGGGCTTTTGGTACCTTATTTCATAGTATCAATGAATAGGTCTTGGAGTGATGCTTACTTTGATTTTTGGGATGTAGTTATTATTAGATTTCTTGTGTTTTTGCATAAAAGAAAAATCAGCCAAGGCCGCAATATCAAGCCTCATCATAGACAATAACTGTGGTACTTGTATTTTATATTTTACGCTTCTTATGTAATATTCAGGTGTTCGTCATTTAGACAATGTTGTGACCTTTGTAATACTTAAAACTATTGAAGGTGAAAGACATATGGTTATGGGAAAAGCCTCATTATGCCTAAGATCATATGGTCTTGACGATACTTGAATTTTTAAAATCATAGGTACTATTCTAATATAAAATAAAATGTTAACGATTTTAATAATAATGCTGATGTTTTAATGTTTTAAAAATAAGTAATTTTTGGTTTTGAAAACCCTTTTCATTTATACATAATCTAAGTGGTAAGTGCAGATTGTATGTATTATAAAAATAAATAGTATGCCGTGGAATAAAATAATACAAAATTGTGTCATTATAGTTTGTATGAATTTTGATTTCAGCACTTAAAATTTAAAACTTTTTAAGAAGTTAATCGTAGGTTCTGTCATCTAAAACGCCAATATGTGGAATTATAAACCTTTTATGTATCAGACCAATCATTGTTAGTGCCAAAATGCAGCGTTAAAATAGGCGATACATTCTCCCGTTTGGAAGTAAGATAAGAGGGTTCCATGTAAAAGGGAAAAGTTTCAAAACTGGTCAAAATAGATATCATGTGGCAGTCATCTGATTCTTCTCTTCAAACACAAATCTGAAAATTCTCTTTTTCAAACCAATGAATTAGAGATTTCTTTTATGCTCTTGAGGTGAGATTAACTATTTAAAGATATTAAAAAAAGTATTTAAATTAGTTATTTGTTAAAAATATGTATTGGTTTTCTTATGAATATTTTTTTTTTTTTGGGTTGAAAGAATACCATTTTAAATCATTTGGACTGGAACTATCTTTAAGGCAAGCTCACTTAACATATACAATCAATATGGTTAGTTTGGATAAATTAAAAAAAATAAAATAAACTAAGGTCTTATATTTAAGAACAAATTCAACCATGTACTTATTCTTATATTAAGAATTGGAGGTGATAACTATCAAGCAGCTTTATTATCTTTTTGAAATCTTGAGAGAAAATCCAAATCAAATTGAAGATCAGGAAATAATGTTAGGATAACTAGCCATTCAGATTTAAAATCAAATTGAAAAAATAGTTTTTTGCGGGCCAAATCCCTTTTTCCCCTAAGAAAATAGAGATTATTTTAGTATCATGCCAAAACATAAATTGAATACAAAATTTAGTATTCCTCTTACTTTTAATATAAGATTTAATTATTGAGTTGATTTTAATCTTAAAAATAAATACTTATTTTCTTGAGTGTTTATATCGCAATATATTTTGTTTTTCTTTTTTACCTGCTCGCAATATATTTTGTTAGTTTATTATTATTATTGTTGTTATTATTATTCTGCTACGAGGGTTTTTTTAATTATTAATTTTTATCCTGGCAGGCCCATATCATTACGCAGAGCCAGAAAGCCGTAAAAGATCGAAGAAGATTAGACTGCGGTGGCAATGGCGACGAGCACCATCGCTGCCAATGCTATAAAGGGCAGCACTACTATGGTTTCGCTTTCTTCCTTGTGGAGAGCTAGGGCTCATGGCTCCTTTTCTTCCTTGGTAACTCGTTCTTCTCCCATTACTCAATCCAAATTCCCCATTTTCTCCATCTCCTCATCACCATCCCGAGAAAGAAGAAGAATCTCATCTCCCTTCTCTTCTTTTTGCACCGCTTCTACTGATGAAGCAGTGGCGGAATCCGTCGCAACTACTTCCGGTGATGCTTCTGGTAACAATGAAATAAATGTTAAGGACGCCGCCGGCTTGCTTGACATAAGGGTTGGGAGAATTCTAAGGGCGTGGAAACACGAGGAGGCTGACTCTCTTTATGTGGAAGAGGTGGATATTGGTGAGCCAGAGCCCAGAATCATCTGCAGTGGCCTTGTCAAATACATTCCTCTTGACCGTCTTGAGGTAATTTTTCGATGTCAGCTTGTTATAAGGTTTGATTGCTGAGCCTTTACCAGAAAAAACTGCAAGACGCATCTTGCGGTGGTCTTCCATGTCAATTTGTGTTCTTGGACTTGGTAAGGGCGTTTAGAGAAGAACAGTAATTTTCCATACTTTACTTTCAAGGCCTGTCCTTTGTTGCTCCTTGAAATGAGAATTCTGTTAGCAAGACGGTTTATGTTCTGCAAATATTGCATAAGTTGATCGATTAGACGGATTTTTTCTGTTGGACTGGAGTAACTGTTTTCAAATCGAAGATAATTTTTCAGAATTGAACTTGAAGTCTGACATTGTTCAACGTAATAAATAATTCATAAATGCAGGGCAAAAAAGTAATTGTCCTTTCCAATTTGAAGCCAAGGAACATGCGTGGTGTCAAGTCTTCCGGCATGCTCATGGCTGCTTCTGATGCCAAGCATGAGAATGTTGAACTTCTTTTTCCTCCTGAGGAAGCAACCCCTGGGGAAAGAATATGGTTTGGGTCAGAAGATGAAAAGGAAAATCAACCTGCTCCTGCGACTCCCAATCAGGTAATAGCTCTACTTTATTACCTGATAGCTTTTTCCAATGAGGATAAGTTCTATAATTTAGGACAATGATTTTTTTACTGCTGAAAATATCGGGATAAGTTTGTTCTTGTCAGTTAGGACAATGATTTTTTTACTGCTAAAAATATCGGGATAAGTTTGTTCTTGTCAGTTATGGAAAAATTTTGTTGAGACATGAGAATAGTTGTCACTTTTGCATAATAGGAAAGGCACTAGTAGCTCCGAAACTTTAATTACAGCTAGTTATGAAGGAAACTATCGTTCTGTTAAACCCGGTAGGGCTCTGAAAATTATCTCAATCGTTGAAAAAACTATGCTTGTGTTTATAATGGTTAAAATTTTAAGCTCAGACACTGATTGCTTTTCTTTTTATCCTCTCAGATCCTGATATTACCTGTTGACTTTTCTTTCACATATTCATGTGTACTTCCTAATTGTTGTTATACATGATACTTTGCCATCTTAAATGTGGAGCGATTTTTCAATTGAATCACTGAATTTTATTGTTCGATGAGCCTCTCTTTCTGGGTTGTGTTGGTGAAATGAGATCTATAACTATTTGGAATTGGTTTTGATGTTGCAACGAAGAATTCAATCACATTCTAGAGTTCAGGAATGAAGATCTAGAAACCTGAATAACAACAGGGCATAGAAAGAAATGAGTGAGACCAATTCCGTTAAATGAATTTTGGAATTGACTAGCATAAGCATAGTAATTCCAAAGAAAATGACAGTATATTGTTGGAGTGACCTGTTATCTGACTTTTATCTCTCCTACTCCAACAAGCTCTCAACGTATTAGAAAAAGTTCATAGCAACTACACTATGTATAAGCTATAAGCAACGCAATTCATTTATCAAATTTTGTACAATAGACAACAATATGTCTAGTTCAGCTGAAGGAAATGAAAAAGTGATAAAATCTCCTACATAGTACATTGTTTCTCTGTTATATCTAGGTAATTAATCAGTGATCTCAATCCCATGTTTCGATGCCATATTTACTATTCTACTGTGATTACCTGCAGATTCAAAAAAAGAAGACCTGGGAATCCGTACAGCCTCATCTTAAGACAGATGCTTCTTGTATAGCAATGCTTGGGGAGCATGTAATGCGGACATCTGCTGGTGCAGTGGCATGCCAATCATTGCAGAATGCAAACATTTCCTGATTCTGTTGGGAGCATCATTTTTTTATTTGGTCAAGCAATGCTTATTGATATGCATTTATTTCTCACATTGCAATTTTGCTTGATGTGTGAAAGTTCAAATTGTATGTACTGTACTATGGATATGTTGCATGGTTAATAAGGAACTTTAGCATTCTTTGGCAAATAGGGCGAACTAACTGTATACTTGCTCGTAAATTATAGAGATTTGAAAACATACTGGATTTCTTTCACTTGTGAATTTTGAACAAGTGAGGAAGCAGTTTGATACGTCCATGACTTGCGTATCAAGAGAGTAGCAACAACGAGGGACAGATGGCACCATCGGAGAAAGAGAATAATGTGGCAATGAGGCAATCAATCAGGGATAGAAACACCGGCCCCCCCAAAACAAATCAAAGCTAGCTTATTATGCCATTCCATGATCAACCTTACTCTCAGAAACCATTGGCAGTATGGTTTGGCTAGGATCCTACAGAGAATATGCTTTTCATGTTCCGTTTGTTTTATGGTTGATTGGGTTTTATACGGGAGAATGACTTATAAAGATCATGGAAACACTGAAGGACCACGGATTTATGAAATTACAGACAAGAACCGAGATTATAAAAATAAAGATATCTGGTTTCTTAAGGCTAGTCTTATATGATCAACCTAATGCCAGAAATCATTATCTGTATGTCTTATCTGTTTGTTTTATGTTTTATTGGGTTTTATTTTATTCTAACCTGCTGTTTTGTCAAGACTCGTCTTATATGAGCTTAATGATTCATACCAAAGAAGGTCATTAATAGAATGTGGTTTGTGTTGGAGAGAGCTCTATCCTCAGAGAGAGATCTTGTGTTGATTTTTACAGTGGTTAGGCTGTAATAAAGGACATTTTAGATACGTGTATTTTGCATATTGAAATGTTGGTAGCCAAGCTGCTTGGGAAAAGAAAATCCAAGACACTTCGAATTTCATTTTTATTAAAACGTCTCTGAATAGTGACTTGATCATGGGTCTAGGGCCTGCCCCAAAGGTAATTACAATATGGGTCTCGTGTATATTATGATGGAAGAGCAAAGAAGAACTTTGTTTTTTTGGGCTAAAGCATAAGTATCTTTTTATTAGAAGTAATCATATTCGAGATACTGTCAGGTACTAAATGTGAACACTTCTCTCAGTGAGAATTCGAATCTTGGTTCGTCGCGTTGTGAAGGATTAGTTCTTTCCGTTATGCCTAACTCTCGTTGATAAGAATAACTTTTACACCAACAACATAAGTATATAACCAAAAAGGCTGGTTCCTTGTAATATGATTAAGTAAGATTCAAATTTTTGTTGAAAAATATTACTTTTAGGTTTATTTGATATGAAGTATTGAAAATAAGAGGCAAGGATTGAGATTGAGATTGAGAAAATTTATTAAAAAAGTGTTTAGTATAAAAAATTACTTGTTACTTGGGATTTGACAAACTCTTATAAGTGAGATTGAGAAATACTATAGGGGAGACCGTGTTCTTCAATTCTGCTAATATGAGTCTATCTAATTCAATGTAACAAATAATTACTTATACTAAATATTTTTTTAATAATTTTTTTAATTTCAATTTTAATCTTTATCTCTTATTCTCAATGCTTCGTACAAAAATAAATCACTAGTACCCAGTATCCAACAATGTTTCAAACAGACTTTTAGTAGGAAGATACAATCAATTGACATAAATAAAGCTATGATTTAATATTATTTTATTATTTTAGTGAGTTAAATATACTTGTTTTCAGTTTAATGTATGTTTCTTTTATTAAAATCCTTAAAAAAACAAAAAATTAACTCCTTTAAAATTTATATTAACTTTGGGATTTTGAATTAAGCATGTTCAATGAAAGGAGTCATAAAAATTACTTTTGTACCAGTTGCCTCAAAGTGTGAAAGTCAAGTACTACCTGTCTTATATAATATAAAAACTTGTTAACTTTTATTTTGATCCTAGATATAAGATATCGATTTATTTTGCCTCTCATATATATATTTTTTAAGGTAGTCCTTGTAATAATAGTAGTACTAGTCAATACACTTAATTAGCAAGGATATTTTAGGAAAGATAATACTTATTTATTACAAATAACTAACTTAACTAATTTTTTTAATTTCCTTAAATTAGTCAACTAACTTTTATATTAAGGACCGGAGATAGTATAAGCTATGTCTAATTTTGTTAATACATATTTTAATATTAAAATCGATAATCTTTTGTGTCATAAAAAAGTAATCCATATTTTATATCAACTTTGAAATTTAATTTATATGGTTTTTTTTAAAAAAATTCTAAGTTTTATTTATAAATTTGTCTATCAACACTTGCACTTGTAAATTTTTCTATTGATTATTATAAAGTGAATTGAGAGTTATAAAATTTTATATGTACACTTGTAAATTTTGTTATTATCAATTGTTAAAATATAAATGTGTACTGAAAAATGAACAAAGGTTATTTTCTACGTTTACCATCTAAACATAATTTTACTCTGGTTATTTGTACTGCAATATAACTTCAGAATTTTGTAGTCTTTATTAAAAGTAAAAAAGAGAATGATTAAAAAAGAAGTTAAAAATTACTAAATTTTAAATCAGGTAACAATATTTTATTTGGTATTGACAACACTGAATTTGCAGATAACAATAAATGTTTGTAGACATTCCTTATTTGACATTTACACATTTTCAACTTTTTTTTTGTCATTTTTCCAAAATAAAATCATATCTGGGGGGTTAATTGAATTTTCTTGTATTTTAGTGGTTCCAAATCAGGGTGCTGTGTTTTTTTAATTTGATATTATCTCCAGTCTTAATTATAAGATTTTATTTATAACTTATAAATAAAGTGTTTTAATTAGGATCAGAAGTAATTAGATTTTTCCTTTCAAAACTAAAGCGATTTTTGCCTTTTTCAACAAATATGAGATTTAATGCCAGTGCCGTTTTAGGCGTCTTGCTACGCGTTCAGGGTCGAAACGACCAGAATAGTCCACGAAGTGGCGGTTGGGGACCGAATGACCGATATTAAAAGATGAGTATTTAATTAATTATAATTAATTGATTAATTGTGAAAGTTGAGAGAGAAGAGATGAAGTTCGAAGTCAAACAAGAGTGACCCCCTGGCCGATGAAAATTCATGTTCTTGTGTTCGATAATGCAGAATTCGATCCACTGTGGAAGTATGTTCAGATTTGGGTTTCTGTTTCTGATTTTGATCCCAACGCTTCTACCCGTGGCTTTCTCTAAGCACGAAGCTATAGAAGCTGTGCTCCAGCGGTTGGACTCCAAACGGGTCCCTGCATCAGTGCAAGAGGCCGCAGCTAGGGATCTTCTGAGAAGATTGTTTCCTTCCCATTTATCCAGTTTTGAGTTCGAAATAGTCTCTAAGGTGTTTGCTCTTATTTTCGTTTTAACTTGGTGAATCTTTTGATTTTATTTTGGGAGTTGAAAATGAAGCAAAGTAAACAACTTTTTATTCCTTTGTACTCTGCAGATATTTTTCATGATTTATAGTGCACTAAGTTGCGTAGTCTAATTCAATGATCAGTGTGGGTACTCTGTGATAGTTATTGAACGTGCTGAATTTATTGGAACCTGCATTGAATCTGCCTACCATTGCTGACTAATATTATCATGTATCACCAAACTATTCTTTGCATGTGGCATTTTCTTGACAGAACATAAAACATGCTCTCTCAAATATTCAGGATGCTTGTGGAGGGGAGAGTTGCTTTCTGATAAACAATCACGACCACTCTAGCCAGAATGGGCCTGAGATTACGTATGTTAGATATAATTCTCACTGAAGACTATGGTGAATATTTCATGTTCTTTTTCTTTCTGTTCATGGATTTAGACTTGATTCTTGACAATGTCTAAGGGGCATGTTAAGCTGGTGAACTCCACTAAGGAGAAGACTTCAGGATTTGCAGTACAGCTGGATATTAATTTTCTAAACTTCAGATCAATATGAATAATTGATTTTCTTCACCATGTGCACTATCATTTTGATCTTCTTGTGCATGATCATTATTCTCAGTTAATTGGGACCAAGACAAGCAATATATGAGAGAGATGTTTGATGTTTGAGGAGAAGTCTGGTGGCACACGCTGCCTATCTGACATTTGTGTGTTCACTTCTTAATTTCTAGGATTAGAGGAACCACTGCAGTTGAAATTGCATCTGGCCTTCATTGGTATCTTAAATATTGGTGTGGTGCTCATGTTTCATGGGACAAGACTGGTGGCATTCAGACAGCTTCAATCCCTAAGCCTGGGTCACTGCCCCCTTTGAAAGATGAGGGTCTGATGGTTAAACGCCCGGTTCCATGGAACTATTACCAGAATGTTGTGACATCTAGCTGTGAGTCCTGAATCTTTGTTTCCATTTCATTTGAAAATATTGTTTTTTCCTGGTCTTACTCTTTTGGCTATTACTGATAACCTTTTACTTGTAAAAATAGTTGGAGAAAAAAGTAGAACTACTCTTCATAAGAAGTTAAATTTGGTCTTGCTGCATCAAGATATGCTGGTTTAACAGAAAATTGTGATGCTCCTAGAAACTTTGTTTCCCTCCTTACTTTGTTTCATTATATGCTGGTTTTAGAAGAATTTCACATGCTTATCTTTCTCTTGATAAAATTTTCCTTTATTGATAAAAAAGTGATATCCTTCTTTCTCATTTGATTGATGAAGACCTGCAATCAGTTCACATGCTTAATCTTTCTCTTGATAAAATTTCATATGCGATAGCTATAGATTATTATTGTTAAATTGCTAATACCCACAATCACTAAAACTTTATGCTATTTATACATGAGCTTTCACAAGTGAACCTTGTTTACATATTTCTATCTTGCAACAAATGTCAGGAATTTCACCTGATGTATCTTGGTAGCCATTATTGGAGAGTTGAATTTCTAACATCTCTAGGTGGGAAAATATGAATTTAGCAGTTCTTGTGCTTGATGTTAAAGGTGAAGTAACATACTTGATATTGTTATACAAAAATCCAGCACATTTTTATCTCCATCCCCAATGGCAGATAGGAAGCTGCAGAATCACCGAATCATGACCCTAAACTTTCTTTTATAAGAAATAAATACATGATCATCTCGAGATTTAGCAAAATGGATAGGAAGATAATTATAAAAAATAGTTCCTTGTACTATAAAATATATAAAAATATGAAACCTTTTAGATCTTTACAGATTCCTATGTTTGGTGGGACTGGGAGAGGTGGGAGAAAGAGATAGACTGGATGGCACTTCAAGGAGTTAACCTACCCTTAGCATTTACTGGGCAGGAAGCAATCTGGCAAAAAACTTTTAAGGTGAAATGCCATCTGCATGTTTATTCATCTATGGATAAAATTTGCTATGAAAAGAATATTTTTAGTTTAGGACATCAACTTTGTTGAAGTGCTCCAAATAAACCAGAGATACTAAGTTGCAGATAGCTATCTCAAAATCCAGGTCTTTTACTATAAAACTGTGCTTAAAAGTAATATTTCAGCATGCTTACTCATTATTGATTGTTAGATCTTCAAAGCTCTAAAGTCAAGTTGTTATTGATTATATTATGCTATGTGTAGTGCATGCTTTTACTAAGGGTGTCTGCTGCTCTGCTTTCATGTTTTCAAACGCATTGCTTTCTGTTACATCTTTGACCATATGAGAAATATGTACTCTATATAGCACCGATATAGGTAAGCATATTGGTGTCTGAAATGATACATTCGCATATGATAGTAATGAGTAATTTGAGAATCTTTACCTGATATACTACTTATGTATATTAATATTTGAGAGAATTAGAAGGGTTAACCTGTTCTTCCTTTCATATTTTACAAAAGAGACTGATTAACTACTAGTATGGCTAGCCCTCTAAAGAATTGATTTCTCAGTCTAATTTCTCCCTTTGTTAAAAAAAAAAAAGAAAAAACTGCAGGTTTGTCCTCTGTTCTAATTTTTCAGAGATTTTATTCTACTTGATGTCATTTATACCTATAAGTCACATGTATACTGATATAGGTTTTCTCTGCTGGCTGCAAATTGATTGGAATTTTCTAACTGTAGGATTTTAATGTTAGTTCTGGAGATTTAAATAACTTTTTTGGTGGACCTGCTTTTCTTGCCTGGGCTCGCATGGGCAATTTACATGGGTAGGTGAAGGTGATATGAAAGATTTGCCTGCCTTTCTTTTATTCGTATATACAGGCCGGAGCAAGGTCTAGTGAATTGAGTAGTCAAGCATGTCTTTCTCATTGCATAAAAGTGGAAATAATTCTTGTACAACATGTAATATATTGACATACAGTATTCAAAAATTATAATGTTCACTGGAAAAAAGCAAAATGTTAAAGAGTTACTACAATGTAAGCTTGCTCCTGCGTTCTTCAGTCCATTTACGGTCCCATTTCAATGTTTGCTAGAAACGGTATTATCCTGGATCTATCAGGATTAGCATTTCTTTCCTTGCAACCTCTTTCCTGAAGTACATTTCTGATGATTTTCCTCCTAAATTTTACTTCGTGATTTTTATGTATAGAGATCAGGCAAACTTGCAATTTTAGCTATCACTCTATCCATAAACCAGTATTATTCTATTTGAAAAAGCAATCAATTATCTAGAAATAAAGTTTTCTCTTCTATCTATACTTGATTGACATGATAGTAGTTTTATTTTAATTTTAAAAAAAATGGCTAGCAATATATAACATGTGTGTTGGCTTCATATGCTATTATCATATTACAGGTGGGGTGGGCCTTTATCACAAAATTGGCTAGATCACCAATTGGCCTTGCAGAAACAGATAATCTCTCGAATGCTGGATTTGGGCATGACTCCAGGTATTCTCGCATTTACATAAAATGTCTTCATTTTATGTTATTTAAGCGATACGTATATCTAAAATACAACTCCTCCATATTTTGTTGAATAAAAAGCAAGTGATGACTCATGGGTACCCTAGTCGAGCATAGAATCTTCCTCAAAAGGTAGCTATTGAAATGGAAGAATTAACCCATGTAAGTTGACCACATGCAGTGGCCTTATACATGTATCTAAATTGGGCTTATTGCGATGAATAAAATGCAAATGGGTAACTAGTAGGTATCCAAGTAGGATGAGTAACCCTTTATCAAAAGCTTGCTATTAAGGTGAGAGAACCAACCCGCTTAAGCATTTATATAGAAGCTCATACCACTCAATATGAAACTAGGCACCCCTTGTGATAGAATAGAAATAGAAAAAGAGAGATAGAAGAGAGATTCAGAGAGGGAGCGAGACAGGGGAAGATAGGAAGTAGGCAGAGAGAGTTAGAGAAGACAGAGAGAAAACAGAGAGCATTACTGAATAGTGCACTGTGTATTCTTGAAAATCAATATCATACTATTGGGTACCCTTTCATATCTATTTATAGGCCTAGGTTGAAGCATGAAGTGCCTGACAACTAATGCCTACTAACTAACGCTCCTAACGGCTAGTAACCGTTTGCAATCTTTAAAATATTTGAATTTATTTACAATTACACATCACCTTGCTGCCCTAGTCTCCATTTGTAACTAGTTATGGGAAATTGGGGAAATGGATTTTCAAACTGGATAAGAGAACCAACAGTTTACCCATGTGCAACTTTCCTGGTTAAATTTCACCATGTTCTTTAGATAATCTTCTTCTATACTCCTATATACTTCTTGTATGTTTTATTGGTGCATCTAGAGTTAAACAAGGAAATAAGATTTACAATCTCAACTTCCTTTACCGCATTTTCAACATTCAATGCTCGAGTAATAATGTTGAGCTCATCTTTTTTAGTGTTGCCATCATTCTCTGGTAATGTTCCAGCAGCTTTGACGAAGATATTTCCCTCTGCAAAAATAACCAGACTTGGTGACTGGTAATGTTTGTTATTTGGGAATTTCATACATCGGTGCTTCTGTTATTCAGAATGCATTATATCACTTTGTTTGAACTAGATAAAGAATTCCTGATAAGTAGATTATGTCAAATACATATATGAATTTATCATCTGAAGTTAAAAAGTTTGTCATTTCTCATGTTTAAGGAACACCGTTGATGGTGACCCTCGCTGGTGTTGTACATACCTTCTAGATCCCTCTGATCCTCTTTTTGTTGAAATTGGCGAAGCTTTTATCAGGCAACAAATCAAAGGTGTGTCTGATGTCATAGTTCTTTTCTCTATTTGGTGCATGTCTTTGTAATTAAAAATGTTACACTTTGGGCACTCATTTCGTCCGTCACTTAAATGTTATTTTTGTTTTTCTCTCCACTATCTGTCAACTTCACATTTCTTTTTGTGGTAATTTTTACAGAATATGGGGATGTAACGGACATCTACAACTGGTAGATTCTCTTCTCTACAGATTGTATTCCTTTCCTTTTTTCTTACATGATTCCATTTCAACTTGGTAATCCGTCATTGCTGGTTTAAAAATTCTTTTCTTTTATGATTAGAGTTTTTGGTTTAACGGTAGACAAGGTAAAATAGTCATAAATTGCATATTCGCTTGTAGCTGAACTTTATTGGAGTAAGGTAGACACTTGTTAAAATTTTGAGATCCATGCTTTCTTACAGAGGTTTGCTGACATAAATTTGTATCATTGGCTGCAGTGATACGTTTAACGAGAACTCTCCACCAACCAGTAATCCAGCATATATCTCAGATCTTGGAGCTGCTGTATATGAGGCAATGTCCAAAGCTGATAAGGATGCTGTGTGGTTAATGCAAGTATGCATCAAATAACTCAGGATCTCACCTTTTCCTATCATAATAAGCATCTTAGTTTCCGAAGTTAGGTAGACAGATGTTTTGACTGCCTTTGACAAATCCTTCTTCACAGTCCATGATGTTTCCATCACTGATTTAGTACTGAATTGTATTTAGCTAGCAATTTTCAATTTTTTTTTTTTTATCAAACACAACCTACAACTAGGGAGAACCAAGTTTCCTTTGTCAAAGTTCATGGCAAAGAGTAACGGATGAAATGGGACCATTATTCCTTTTTTCAATTAAAATTTAGGTGCCATTTGTACTATACAAAGTGATTTGTGGCTAAGAAGTTCCGTTAAATTTGCAGGGTTGGCTTTTCTACTCGGATTCATCATTTTGGAAGCCTCCTCAGATGGAAGTATGGAATTCATAAGCTCTTCTGGTTTATCATGTCACAGCCCGTGCTAATGCTTCTTCATTTCATGAAGTCGTTTGTTGATTAGTAGGATAATACTTGCAGGCACTTTTACATTCTGTTCCATTTGGGAAGATGATCGTTCTTGATCTATTTGCTGATGTCAAACCAATATGGAAAAGTTCATTTCAGTTTTACGGTACTCCTTATATCTGGTAATCATGTCTCCACTAGCTAATGTTGCTACCCAAGTAACATGTTTTATGATTTTCTTTCAAGATTTACGTGGTTCACTAATCAATGACAATTATGCTTCCTTAATCTTACACTGTTTCAGGTGTATGTTACATAATTTTGGTGGTAATATTGAAATGTATGGCCTTTTGGATTCAATATCTTCAGGACCTATTGATGCTCGTGTCAGCGAAAACTCAACCATGGTAAAGCCAGCATTCCTAATATTTCATGCGGAAATGTTGATTTTGGTTTCAGCAATAGTTTGAACCCCCCCCCCCTTTTTTTTCGTTAGCAGCTAAATAAGATAAGTAATCTAGATCTGAAATTATATATTCATTGTCGTTTTATGGACGTACTCTGTAGCCTATCTTCTATGACATTTCATTTGACTAAAAGATATTCAAATTTAGAGTTGAAAAATATTTGGTTATTATCTTTATAATATCATGTACATTCTAAGTAGTTTACTTGCTTAACTAATCTTTGTGTAGTTGGGAGTTGGTACGTGCATGGAAGGAATAGAGCAGAACCCTGTTGTCTATGAGCTGATGTCAGAGATGGCATTCCGTGAAGATAAAGTTCAAATTCTGGTAATGTTGTTCTTAAACTCACTTTACTTCAACTACATGCAATGAGATTTGTATTTTCCGTTTGATATTCTTCTAACGTTTTATCCTACTATGTGAAATAGATTTTTGCAACATGTACAGGAAACTTAAAATTAGTACAAACATGTGAACTAGCTCCAAGGACATGAATTGAGTCCCCTCCTAGACTAAATAGATAAATAAATAAAATCCTTTGTGTTATGGTAAAAGTATGTAGAATAAAAAATTTGAATTTAAAGCTCAGTAATAATTCGGAGTCTAGGTAGTATGGAATGGCAATACGATTGATTACAATTGCTCATATGATTTGATATTTATCTTCCCACAGATTACAAGAGGTCGAAATAAGGTTCATGTTTTATCATGTAACTTGCAAACATGCTCAAGAGGACCATAGTGTTTATTTACAGGTGTAGTTTTCACTGAAAAGTTTGTGGGTGGGGTTGAACCCTAATGCATTTGCAGGATTGGCTCAAGGGCTATTCCAAGAGACGATATGGTAAAGCAAATAATCAAGTTGAGGCAGCTTGGGAGATTCTTTATCATACCATATACAACTGTACGGATGGAATTGCTGTATGTCTTAAATATTGCTCCCCTTAAAATGCATCGTATATCATACTAGTTGATCAATTTGCTTTCATGTCATTGAGACTCTTATTTATGACGCTTGACACATTCTTCAGTTTTATCTGGAGTTCAAAAAACAAACCCAGAACACTTTTACATCACAAGTTCAAGTAAGAGGGTGGGGTTCTAGGCAGAGATGCTGGGTTCTTTTTTTTTGGAGAATGAATTGTGGATGTTTGAAAGTGGTCTTGGACATTGCGTAACTAGTAAGTTAGAATAAGTTTTCTGCCAAGATGTATAACCACACACAGACAAACACGCATCTGAGTTGAGACGTGTCATCAGGGCTTGACTTTCACTTTACACTGCTTTTTAATTTGTCACAGGACCATAACCATGATTTTATTGTAATGCTTCCTGACTGGGATCCTTCAAATCTCCAGAAGATTGATTTCTTGCCCCTTGGAAATAGAAGATTCTTGTCCCAGGTGACAAAGTCTGATATGCCACAGGCTCATTTGTGGTATCCTACTGAAGAGGTAACCAAAGCTTTAAAACTATTCCTTGGTGCTGGGAAGGATTATGCTGGAAGCCTTACATATAGGTAAGCTTGTCATGTGCGAAATTTCATGAGTTAATTATTACTCTTTAAATCTCGTAAAGTATGTTCACGTTTAAAGATTGTTATTCCTAAACAGGAATAAATCCCTTCTTAGTTCCCAGATAAACACCCCCTCCTTCCCTCTTTACTAGCAGTAGCTTGCAGAGCAAACATAATTCATGATTTGTTCTTCACATTGCATGATAATCATCAGGCTTTGGGCTTTTAAATTTTAAATCATATAATCAGTAATGAATCCTTCATGGCCCTGATTTGGGGATAAAAGGATTGGACTCTAAATTTTGCTTGAATATGAAGAAATTTATTAGAGAAAAGTGGAAATATACCAAAATACGCACTTTCAACTGATCTATTCCAACACGAGCAATGTTTTTGGCAACAAAAGGAGGAGAATAAATATCCTCGCACAAGTAATCTGAATAATTTAAGCACGTCAATCTCCCTGGATGGAGAGAACGATGATGTTCTGGTTTTAGTATGCAAGAAAAGTTAAAAGAATCATATGTTCCTATTTAAAAAAAAAAGCATATAAGATTAACATGTGATGATGATAACGGGAAGACTGGTTGATGTCTTAAAAAAGAAAACCATCATGAAACTGTTTGGTGAAATCATTCGTGTCCTCTTGACAGGTATGACTTGGTCGACTTAACACGACAAGTACTGTCGAAATTGGCAAATCAAGTATACATTAAGGCAATTACATCATTTCAGAAAAAGGATATCGATGCTTTGAGCTATTACAGCAATAAGTTCCTTGGTTTGATAAAGGATATTGACCTACTGCTTGCCTCTGATGATAACTTCCTACTTGGAACTTGGCTTGAGAGTGCCAAAAAACTGGCACTGAATCCAAGTGAGTTGAAACAGGTGAGTAATACTGTGTATTTTCCTCCCTTTTTGATGGACTGTGGACTATTAGTTTATAGTGAGAACAAGCAGTAATTTTTTATTTTTGCTTGCACTTGCGATTTGAATTGTTTTTTCCCCTTATTTTTCCCTTAATTGAGCCCCAGTCAATTAATTAAAATAATCTTATTTAATGATTAGAACTAATGAATGTTTCGAACTTATTTTCCTTGTCTCCTCCAGTATGAATGGAATGCCAGGACGCAAGTGACAATGTGGTTTGACACTAATCAAACTACTCAGAGCAAGCTTCACGACTATGGTAAAAAGCATCATAATGCTGTATAATTTTAATACCCCCCTTATTCTTATAGATTTGGCTGATTTTCTGTCTTCCTATTGTTCCATTATTAGCTAACAAGTTTTGGAGCGGACTCCTCGAAGGCTATTATCTCCCTCGAGCTTCAACCTATTTCGGTCATTTGTCAAGAAGCTTGAAACAGAATGAGAAGTTCAAGTTGCAGGAATGGCGAAAAGAATGGATTTTACAGTCAAACGCATGGCAAGAAGGTAACGAGCTTTACCCTGTAGAGGCCAGAGGAGATGCTCTTGCCATCTCCAAGGCATTGTATGAAAAATATTGTGGGCAATAATTTAAACGCTAAATCACAGAATTACGAGTTATCAATTCGGCGTACCATTTGCGCTTTCAGATTGTTGTTCGTACTCAAAATAATACCGAAGCCTGCATATTTTCGGACTCTGTTTCTTGTGTTTTGCTGATTTATGTAATTATTTTGCCTATGTCTATTGGATGAAGTTATATGGCATTCAATCTCCAACGACTCCAAGGAGTGAATCTTTGGATTAATGGAAATATGACAAGTGAGTCTGATGCCTGCCTCCTTTAAAATTTCCTTGAGCATGAGCTTACGAGTTCCAACACTCAAAAATGGTATAACAAATTTATGAGTTATGACATGAAATAACAGAGTGAACCTGGTGCCAGCCTGCATCTAGCAGGGACTTGGTCTATAGTGAGCATAAGCGAGGCATTTTTTTTCGGGCATGCCATCACGCTCAATAGCATATATTTATATAATTGTTGTGTGGACCAAAAATGAATCAAATTAAGCCGACTATAAATAAACATGCAGTCAGATCAGACAATGCTTTTTCTGGCGAAAAGGGCAAAAAAAAACGGTTCTTTTCCTTTAATGAGACTTGTCCTAGACGTAATTCAATATCTCATCCTATTTGACTTAATTTACCTATCTTTTTCAAAATCAAAGTCGAATCTCTGAATTTCCTTGTGATTAAGACCTACCATGCAATAATAAATCTCCTTAGTCATCATGTTTCGTCCAAGACTCTCCGGGCCATGATGATTTCATGCTTAGCTCATCATCATCATCATCATCTACATTACTAGACTTTATAAACAGGTCCATGATCATAATATGGCCTCAACCTTGCGACTAAGGTATTTTTGAGTAGGAATATCGCATTTGTGGGGACTAGAAACCGTGTCTGGCTGTGATAAATTAGTTAGTTTCTCTGTACATGCTATAAAGGGTTCTAGAAATAGGGTTTGGCTCTCACTTTTTCTTTCCATAATCTCCTTCCTCATATCTTCTAGTAATGCTTTACTGGTGTCAATACCTGTTCAAGTTACAAACATTCTAAAAGTGAGATCGTGCAATTATTAATGCAAAACTTGAAATAGAAAACAATGAAATAAGTACCTGCAAGGTAAGCACCATGGACATAACCGTTAAATTTTTCACTTGTGTGCTCTCCAGTAAAGTAAATGCGATCCACTGGAGCCTGAACCATGTCGAGAGACAAAATAAGACCAAATGGAAGTGCAAAAAACTAAGCACTGTTTCATTTTGCAACTTAAATGAGATTCTCCTAGTTTTCTTTTTTGGTTTCAGAATTAGACTGAAATAATCAAATGAATACACAGACAACTGTATTCTTTTTAAATATTTATTTCTCTGGTCTTAAATATAAGACCCATTTTGTAGTACAATTTGTATTACAAAATGGGTTTTATATTTAGGACGGGAGGAAAATTTAGAATGCCTATAATAGGAATAGTGAGAATAATAAAACTTTTGATCCATCAAATGTGCCTCAATTTTTTATTTGATCCTAAAATGTAAATTTTATCAATCAAGTCCCTAAAATTTGATAACCATACGCATTTAATCAGTCATTATGGTTCAGAAGGACTAATTGTGTATGATTATGAAACTTTAGAGACCCGATTGATAAAGTATAAATTTCAGAGACTAAATTGATAGGTGAGGCAAAATCAAAGAATAAAAAATTTCCTTTTCCCGAGGATGGTGTTATGGGTGTGAAAACAATGCTGGAAAATATTTTTGACTTCTCTAACAGAGGCACAGACCAATGGCCACCGGTAAGCTGATCATCTTAAGTCTGTCTTTACATGCACTTTTAGCAGAATATACGACAAGCATGACGGCATCGCACGAAAATTTTGACAGAATGTGCCCAGCAGCAATATTACTACAAACACTAAAGAAGTATGTGAAAATTTAGAAGAGAAACAAACCTTAATATTGTGATTAAGTTGATTATTATTAGAGACAATGGGATAATTGCTGTAACTGCAACGCTGGAATCTGTTATTCCACCAGCGGGGAACAAGTATATCAGTGGCATCAGGTATGTCAGGTCCAAACATATCCCTGAGGACCTCCATAGCTTCTTTCAAGGTCTCTTTATCAGATTGGGCTTCAACACGTTTTGATTCCTCATTTGTCAGGGTCACTACCAAGACATTAGAGTCAGGGTATGCGTTCTCCATGTCCTGCTTGTAAAGGAACAATTCAGCTGATAGATTGGAAAGTTTTAATTGAGTAAATTTAAGAAATTTATAGACAATTTAATGCCCAAAATAAGAGCAAAGTAGTCTGATCCCGCATACAAATTGTGCAGTCAATGTAGAAGTTCAAGTTCAAAATCAATGCATAAATATCACATTAATGGAACAGGTAAACTGTACTGAAATAAGATGATTCCCAAACAGGTCAAAGTTTTTGGGTCATCAAACATAGCCAATTTTCTCCTATTAATTAATAGACATTTTCATAATTTGAAATATGTATGTTATTAGTATTCTGTACAAACAAGAAACCAATGATAGCTAGAAAAAGTTAGTCGTTCCCATCACGAAACTCAGTAACATATTATTCCAAGGTATCAACGTTGCATTAGAAGTGTAATGAACCATTTAACGGAAATGAAAAGATGTATCTGTCTTACACGGATATTAATAAGTTCATTAGAGTATGCTTGTAAGTTCTAATGGTGTGACTTGAAGGTCAAGTTACAACTTCACATTAAAGAAACAGGTACCAAGCTAGATCATCTATAGTAAACCGAGGGATCAAGCAAGAGAATTAAAACTATTTTTCCGCACCAGACAAGAGAACCTATAGTCAATTGTTGCCTTTGGAGCTTGGATTTAGTAGGTTGAATCCGGGCCAAGTGGAATTTTAAAATGGTAAGAGAAGCTTCGTGTAAACTTTAAACTCCTTGCGTAGCTCTGTTTGAAATTTACTCAAAGCTAGATCCAATAAGCATCAAGATTATGCTAAATAAAAAATGATTGCACAAAATGTGACGATTCTAGTCACCTTGAATTGAGCTCACCATTATAAATATTTAAAATAGGACTGCACTATATTACGCACACGCACACAAAGGAAGGGATCATAAAGAACAGCCAGAATTGTGCATATTGAAGGGCAAAAGCCCGAAATAATCTTTCAGCTGATGATTAAAGTTCAACCTAAGCTATTTAGTTATAGTAAATAGGCGAATTTTCAGAAGATTTGGCTCTAATTTCTTCGCGTTAGCAGAGCAGCAAATAGGTTCAGGCATTTTTAACAATTTGACATGAGAAACAAAATTTATATTCAACGGAAGAAAACAAACATAATATGACACAAATAATAAACATGATGTAGTTGGTTGAAAAGCGAACCTGCCAAAATGTGTAGTAACCTCTCCGATCATGAGCATAGATGAAGAATTCCTTCTCGGGTCCACTTGGCCAAAACTTATACGGAAACTTCAGAAAGATTTTGGTGTACACTATCAGATCCAGTTTCTCTATGGCTTCCGATTTCCACCTCTGCATCATATCATTCATTCAGTCATATTAAAACAGAAATAGTGAATGATACTACATAACAAAACCCCACAAAATTATTATTCACAGGGTAGAATATAATATTTGACGATCCCCTTAGCTCAAAAGGCAGGCAAATGGGTCTCAATGACGGCATCCATTAAATATAGTTTATAACTAGTTCATTGGTTTAAGGACACCTCATTAAGCGTTAGACTGATGATAAGTTTATTGTCGTATGATTCACAGATAGCAAACTCGAGAGACACCAAATTTATCCATTGCGCTCATCATCCTACCGGACCAAGTTGAGAGAAACTAATCCTGCTAAAATGTTTGAACGACAATTAAATTCACTCATACATCAATTTAATTACAAATAGATATGATGCATATTTAACATTCATTTTCATATAAAATTTTACTTTAAATAGATTTGTTTAATACTTTCTATATGACTGACTTAACTTATATATATATGTATATATATCTTTAAATGAGTAAATTCCCTATCAAATCTCTCCTAACTTTATTCACCATGTACCGTGCACGGATCTTCAATCCGTCATACTGAATCTGACAACCATATATATGGAAATATACAGCAAAGCTTAGATTGACGAAGTTTCCTGTATTGTCCAGTACAAGGAGTCCCACTCTGCTACCCTGTAACGTTTTCATATTATACTCTAATCGCAGAACCCCACAAATTTTATGACGCTAAATAAATTATAGTATATTCATGTATGATGCACCTATCGCCATTACTGACCCCAGATGCAAATTGGAAACCTCTTCCGTCCACGTGGTGACCCAATCAAAAGGGCTGCCAGTAAATCATCAATGATGATACTATTTATGCTTAGTACAGACACACTTGATCATGGAACCGCTGGTTTCTGCACATGAAGACAAATCGAAAATATGTTTTCCTGCGTCATCAACACCAGGAAGCTCAAGTTTTATATAGAACTTGTTGTCCCTATATTTTGACTTTCTCAACCTATGACATTTAAATTCGTGATCCCGCCACACAGGTCATGCCAAATAGAATCGGTCAAAAACAAACACCCTGTGAGAAATTCTACCTTGTTGGTAATGTGTTAGTCATTTATTATAGAATGGCTAGATGTGGCTAGATTCTTTACGAGGGCATTGATAGGGAAAGCTTCAGCTCTTCTAGGAGATCAATATCTTAATTCTTAGCTATTGATTTCAAGATTTATATGATACATTACAATATTAATATTATTATTTTAACACAAGTTTTAAAGCAGAGACAGCTAGAAATTCAATTACTCTCTAAAGCATCAAGGTTTCTAATTTAAAACCTCAAGTTTTATAAATATATAGTATATTGAATTAGAATAAATTTGCGTGCGTGTATTATTTCCAGATAAAACATATTTTTGATCCAGGCATTCCAGAATAAGGATTATTATTTATGCCCATTTGTCCGCGTAAAGACGAGAAAGAGAGGCAAGCAAGCAAATATAGAGGAGACATACGGGTAAGGGTGGACTAAACGCAATGAGGTCGCTTTGAAGAACGCCGATACTGACAGACAGAATCAGGTAATCTGCTTCATAAATACAACCATCCTCAGCTACTACTGTAACGCCACTCCTCGAATGATGTAATTCCCGAACGACCTGCACGTAACCAAATAAAATATCAATTCCAAAGTGCTAAAAAAAATATTC